ATCCACAGATGCATCTCAAGCAGGTCCAAGGAGGTGATCCTCCCCCTCTATGCAGCATTGGTCAGGCCGCAGTTGGGAGTACTGCGTCCAGTTCTGGGCGCTGCACTTCAGGAAGGATGTGGACAACATGAAGAGGGTCCAGAGGAGGGCCGCTCACATGATCGGGGGCAGCAGGGCAGGCCCTACGAGGAGAGGTTAAGGGACCTGAACCTGTTCAGCCTCCACAAGAGAAAGCTGAGGGGGGGATCTAGTGACCTGTTACAAACTAGTCAGAGGGGACCAACAGGCACTGGGGGAGTCCCTGTTCCCCTGAGCGCTACCAGGAGTGACAAGAAATAACTGTCACAAGCTGGCAGAGGGTAGATTCAGGCTAGATATCAGGAGGTGCTACTTCACTGTCAGGGTGGCTAGGATCTGGAACCAACTTCCAAGAGAAGTGGTGCTGGCTCCTACCTTGGGGATCTTTAAGAGGAGGCTGGATGAACACCATGCCAGGGTCGTTTTACCCCAGTACGTTTTCTTGCCATTGCAGGGGATCAGACTTGATGATCTGCTCAGGTCCCTTCCGACCCTACCAACTATGAAACTCTGAAGGTAAAAGCCACTTTGCCTTCTCGGCGAAATCAACATGGGAGCTTGCTGGATTAAAGTGTACATGATGCCACAGGGCCCTGAAATGAGAATACTGGGGTTCTACTGCTGCACTGGAGAAATTACATCCTTCTGTTTCTTAGAAGGCAGGACAAGGTGTCACCTTAAAGACTAACTCATTCAGAAAGAAATAAGCATTCACAAGCTATAGCCCAGAATAGTCCACTCATAGCATCTGACAAAGTAGGCTGTAACCTATGAAAACTTACACTTCTCTGAACAAGTTAGTCTTTAAAGTACCATCCTGCCCTGCCTTCTACCTGACTTCAGTCTAATATGTCTACTCTCTGCTTCTGTTCCCTAGTTGCTCGCCCCATACACAAAATGGATCCATGGGTTCTTAAGAATGATAAAGATCACTTTGATCATCTGACTTTAACTCCTGCATAACACAGACCACAGAAATTTACCCAGGGGTTCCTAGAGGGAATGATTACATCACGAGTGCATAGGGATATCTAAGCCCTTTGTCATACTGGAGGTCAGCTAGAGGATGATGGTGGTCTTCCTAGCCTTCAAATAATCTCCAAATTTGCTTTTGTAAAGTTTTGAGCTCTGTGGCTTAATGGTGCTACAAATGCTAAGAAGTATTTATCCCATAATTTGTTGTGACCTGGGCATATGCTGAGTGTGCAACGGAACTGTACAATTTCATGAGTTTACTCAGCAAGATTCCAGATTTTCAGCCACCTAGTTATTGGATCAGCACTAGAAAAGCAGAGACATGCTGTCCTAAATGGCACCTTGCCAGTGCCAACTATGCTACCAGCAACATGATCTTCCTTTGAGCAGGCCCTGACCCATACCAGCAATGTTACCATCTGACTGTCATTTTATTTTGCATATAGCCCCAACAGGCTTGGCTGGATTTTCTGCCTCATGGCTTATCTCTTCCCGACCACACCTGTGGAAAGGGGTTTAACTTCAAGTCATCCACTGTTACCTGGAGCTGCTTGAGTGCTTTCTGAGCATTTTCTGGTTTCTTGTACTCCACAAATCCAAAGCCCATGGAAAGTAAAGTGCCTGCCAGAAAAAAAAAGACTAGTTCTGAGATCTGCAGAGCCTTTGGTGAGAAGTATCTAATGGTGGCCAGCACAAAACTGACACACTTGAGACAGGTTATGGCAGACAATGAAAACCTGAACCATTCCTGGAAATTAGAGCAAACACTGATAATTAAAAAAAGGAAGTGATATTCTCAGACTTCAGAAAAAACCCCCTCATCCTCGAGAACAGGATGTAAAAAATAATTCATGGTACAACAGTGTGTGATGGAAATCCATGCATAGTTTTTGAGCAACCTCATTAAACAAAACATTAAATGCATGTCTTACCAAAACAACAGCCATTCATGTCTAGGGTCAGCTATTATAACGTTTCACCCACATTTCTCTAAATATGTGACTTAAATATATACCACTTTTTGCAGTGGGTTTTGTTGGGTTTTTTTGTCACCAGGATTCTCCTGGTATCAAATTTTGGTGCCATACTGCAAATCTGCAGCACGGCGAATGGATGCAAGTGCACCACATGCAGTTTGTGGTGCCACAAACTGCATGTGTGCACTCATCGGGATGCACCCTCAGAGTTCAGTTAGGCTATCAAGAAGTAAAGTCTCTAAGCAAACTATTTTTTAAACTATTGTAAACTGAACCTTAAAAAAAATTGCTACCCACATAGATACCTAGCCAGAAAGGATGATCTTGTGGTTAGAAACACTGGACCTAGAGTCAGGAGAGTCCTGAATATGGCACTGTGGCAAGAGGCCTGTGTGGGAATAATACATTCTCTCTCGTTCTTATGATGAAAAATCGTTGGGGCTGAGTGCTGCCTCTGCATACTAGCACAATGGTGCCTGATCTCCTCCCACTATAGGTGAACAGAAACCAGCAGCTAGTTAGAGAATTACACATCAGGAGTATAACTGATTTGTTAAAGGGAGCCAGCAATTCCAATTGGACAGTCTTCAACTTCATGCTTTCCTTCCTTCCCACGATGATTGATGCAACTAAAGCATCTGCCCTTTAAGGATGTAATGCTATTCCCACTTGCCATGCATAGACTTTTCCAATGGTCTCACTAGTCAACACAACCCTGTTTGCCATCTTGTTATAATGCCCCTACCAAAGCTATAGCACATTCAGTGCTCTTAAAGTAGTTAACTACTCCTGCTGCAGAGCCCAGAGCAGTGATTACATACAAGGGCTTTTCCAAACCAAGGTACAAATGTCTCAGCTGTGAAAAGAAGGACTGAGATTTATTTACAATCCAGAGAGTATTACCTGCCATATTTCACTTTATCAATTGGTTTGAGCTCTACATTTCATGTGTGTGTCAAGAGTGCCTTTGAGCTCTGCAAAAGACATGCGAAACTAGCAGATGCTTGCATAATTCCTGTATGGTCACTCTTTTCAATCCTAGGTTATGTACTGAAGGATGGAACTTCCACTAGAAATGATTAACAGCTAATGTGATCTACAGCCCTTTAATTATTCCCTGACCCAGCAGAAGTTTGTAATGCTCAAGGCCATGCTAAAAGCTTCCAAGAAATGTACTCATGGAATCGTGATTTCAAGAGCTCATAAATAAGGCCCTAAACCAGAAAACATGATGGCAAGTTTCCAAAGCTTGACTGCACTATGCTACTGAAGCCACTCTTTGAAGACTGAAAGGGACTGCCAGGGAAACTAGAGTGAAACCAGAGACTGTCCTAGATCCATGCACAGCATGCGCCTTAGATCACACACAAAAACAAGGTTAGAACACTAAAAGTGCCAGCCTAGACTGTTCAGACTCTTCGGAAAGATGACCTTGGCATAAAGAACAGCTGGCTGCACTTTCATGTAGACTTCAGTTGACTTTATACAAAAAGTGGTTTATTACAAAGTGAAGCCCAACCTGATTTCATATCTTGGGGAGAGACCTGGCTGATTTAGTCAATACTTCCTTTGTAAAACAGCTCCGTCCCTTACCTCCCATGATATTCTTTCCTTCTCTTTGACATTCATCAAATACATTCAGAACCGGGTGGATCAGCACAGGCACCAAATCTATTTAGCATGTGATCCTGTAGAATCTGGCTCTTCCAACCCAATCTTGGAGAAAGACCTTAAATGACTTTGCATATCTAGTGATGGAGATATGTTGCAATGCAGACTTGGGGAATGTCATTTTGGTTTCTGTTTTCAACCAATTTGTAGTAGGGTTGGAGTACTGTTACAGGCATAAAGGTCCAGTAAAGTGGTTCAGTCTTTTCAGCATGTGCATTTCTGGACAAATCATTAAACTTCCAAACAGTTATGCAACTGGCTACCCAGATGAACACCAGAAGAAATGCACATCAATTCATAGTGTACCTGCTTTGTCTGTCTTCTTTGAGATCGTGCAGCTCTTCACAGCTCCCACTTTGGAAAATGTCTGTGAAAAGTTTTACACATTCCTTAGTTTTCTTTGCAATTAAGGTCAAAATACAATTTTTAACACGCTCCTTTTAGAACAACTGAAAGAGGAAGTCAGCTCTCTCCACTTCCAGGCATACACACAGACCAAGGAAGACATATAACCATATATTCAGTTTTCATAGCACTTATTAGAGGAAAAAAGTCACAAACCAGTTATTCCAGACACTGTACTATCACTAAAATAAGCTGCAGCAATCATTACTATAGAATAGTGAGTGTTTCTACCAGGACACTGACTTCACACAAAAACCTATTTTTTAACAATTGCCAATTCATTAGTATCCCCAAGACATCAGTCCTCGCAGGACTGTATGTGAGGAATTATAAAGTACTTGTGGCAGCCTGGCTGCTTGTCCTAATACAGGAAAAATAGATTGCTGTCCAGTGGCTAGACCAGAACATAGGGATAAGAATCCCTGGTTACTTTTCTTGGCCCTTGTAACTTAGCATGTAATCTTAACAAAACTACCTCACACTTCTGTGTCTAATTTACTTGTGGCAAAGTACTACACTTTCTATCAGTGTTTGTAAAAGCTAAGAGGAAAGCTGGAAATCACCTAGAGCACTATTAATACTTCTTTAAAACACATAAGCAGAAGAACTTCAGACAGGTTGGTAGCCAGACAAAATCTCTGCTTCTAATCTAGGCTGAATCACCCACTCACTGTTTGACCCTGATTGAGACACTCCTGCCCAGCTGCACTAGCTTGCTAGATACATGCAACACCCAGTTTCTTAGCCTCACCCACTACTTACCTCCCTCAGTGTTTCCTCAGTAGTGGCAAAACTGAGGTTTTTGATGAACAGGGTACATCCTGGAACACTTTCTTCTTCCTCATCTTCCTCTTCTACTGCTAGTTCTTCCAAGCCCTCTTTCATTTCCTCAGGTCCTATAAACAAAACAGAGCAAGCATAACAACACACAGCCAACCAATCCAACTTGGGGACATAAATGGGAGTCATTGTGTTTTGGTTCACCTCATCAGAGTCAAAACTCTGATTATAAATGGAAAATTCTTATATATGCATTTAATGACAGTTCTAAAGTAAATCTGGTGCTTCTGAAAGCATGACTGCAAACAGCATGACCACAGGTATGCCACAACTGCCTTACTCTTAAAATTATTTGAATTTTCAATTCCACCACACTGCTCTCTATGTTTTGAGATATTATGGTGCTGAACCCAGAGAAATACTTGTTCCAAACCTGAGCCTTGTACCCAGTTCTACATTTACCTCTCTACCCTGTCCTGAAATTCCAACAGTAATTCCAAGTACACGATTGTCCTGGCAGAGACTCTCAATCATATCTGTTGTAATAATTCTACTCCTACATTTGTACATAAAGGAATCAGGCCTGTAAAGTCCCAATACTATCAGGAAGAGGACAACTGAGAAGTATATTCAACATAAGCAAGCATACTCTTAAGGCAGCTGGTTGTAATGGTTGTGCTTCTATCCAGTTGGTTTTATTTTCAAGGTTCTCTGAACTTAGCTCAGCAGAACTGTTAAACAGTGTAGCACTGAAAACAAAAACATCATTTTATTTCTCTTCTAAAACACCTTTGTTAGAGGCTCTGCTACAGGGCTGCATTGCAACCTATGTGCTACAAGGTAGCATCCAGGAAGCCCAGCTCTTCAGGACTACTGCACATTGCATCATGGATGGCGATCCAATCTTGAGGTCCAACAGCATCATTCTTTGGTATGTGATAGCACAGCATCCAGAATCCTTTAATACTAGCAATATAATGTGTATTACTGAAGAATCTCTGGCACGGAGACAAAACTATTGCTGCTATTTTAGAGTATAACACCTGAAACGCACAACATAGCAAAGACTGCATCATCTTCTTTGACTTTGAGTTTAAATAACAGCAGCTATTCTGCATTAATTGTCCTAGTGGATGCTCTAATTATCCACTCGGTGTGTCCATGCTTAATGGTAGTCAGTGCAGAAAATATATTGCAGAATAACTGGTCGGTTTGCCTGCAGAAGCAAGGCTGTAAGGTTCTGGTCACTTGGTGCCAGTGAGCAGCTCTGGAAAGCACTGTGCCTCATGCAGCAACATCACAGCATTTATGTTTGGTTCCTGCCCTTCCCTTTCTGCTAGTCACACATGGCCTAAGTCAGGAGAAATAGCATAACTAAGGGAGGATAACTGGAGAA